GATTCCATGACAGAGAAAAGCTGGGATGTATCTGGTTTTGTTGGTAGAATAGCTCAGTTGCGTTTGGTTGACCATTCCTCAACCCACTATGGTCACATTAATTTTGATAATTTAATTTGCCAGTGAAAACTAAACAAAACATAGTGGTTGACTCGTCAAACTGGCCGGTAAATGGTACTGCATTTTTTTTAAAAAAAATCAGCCAACAAACCCCAAACGGCAGCTTATAATCCCTGGGCTTACACATCTTCGTAAGGCGCTTTACCGGAGGACTGGTAAACGGATGGGCTTACATCGTTTTATTATTGTTCTATTATCATTTTGCCATACAAACAAAATATAAATATAAAATTTAAAAAAAGGATGAACCAATGGAGCCCAAGTATGCAAATAAGGTTAGAACTACTTAATAGGCTACTTGCACTTAGAGGTCACGTGACCAATGCGGCCTTTAAACAGTGAGTTGGAACCTTGCTGATGTCAAAAATTGACAGAGGACATAAAATTATCTTACGTCCGAGATTTGAGAGGAAACGCATTTAAGGAAGATATTTTATGACACTTTGATTTTTCAAAGTAGTATGATTTTTATTGGCCGCCATGTTGGAGGGCATACTCTTGCCCTCCAACATGGCGGCCAAAACTACTTTTGCATATATCTTGTTAAACGTTTGATAGTTACGCTCAGATGTGCTTTAAACGTTACCACATCATCTTTTCAACATTTTCCTTGAAGTTGAAATGCAAAATTTGTGTTCAAAAAGAGGTAATTCATAATTTCAAAACTCACATTTTGGTCACGTGACCAGCTACGAACTTACTCATTTTAAGAACATAGTGTGGGTTAGAGAAACCAAATCACTATTATTTTAAAATAACTAAGACAGTACGCGCGCTCTGATTGGCTGAGAGGCGTGTTTGCATGAGAGTATGTAAACATGGTTGTGGCGTCAATATGTTTTGCTTTTCGCGCGCTAATCACGCAAGCACAAATTTGAAAAAGTTTTCAAGTTCAAAACTCGACAAGTTTACTTTACTTACCCATTCCTTCGTCGGCTGAAACTTGGAAAATCGTTACAAAGAAAGTGTGTCAATTTTTTTTCGCTTAAGCTGACATTTTAAGCGAGAAAAGTCCGTATTTTGGAAAGCATCTTTTTGCAAAACAAGAACTGATTACGCGTTCAAGACTTCGTGGACAAGACTTTTCGAGTGGTAAGAATTTCTCTTTTAATCACTGCCATGCAAAGAGTTTTGCGTTTTTCGTCGGGAAATTTATTTTATAAAAGCAATAGAAAACTTATTTCCTGTGTTTGCATAGCCTGATATAAACACTCGAGGCGTTGGGAGAATTCTCGACAGTTATGCAAACCCTCGACTTCGTCTCGAATTCTTCCAACCCCTCTCGTGTTTATATCAGGCTATGCAAACACGGAAAACGTTTTCTATTGCTTAAGTTTAAGATATGACCCACTAATGGTTTTTCGAGGTCAAAATCATATAACTTTCATTTTCACAAAAACGATGTCACATGACCTTTTAGTGCAAATGGAATAGTACTATTAATTAATAAATAAAATACTGACATCGGCAGGATAATTTCACTCTAAGCACGCAGAATGTCGTTAGAACATAGAAAATAATCATTAAATAGGATAAAAATAGAAAAAGCTGAACGTGTAAGTGCGAAAACGAAAATGAAAAACTACACACAAGTATAAAGAGAACTAAAGTGTTCTTATACCAAGGAAAATGACTTAAGTTTAGAATTGAAGAAAGCAATACTAGAGGCATTCTGAATTTCAGAGCTGAGGGAATTAAATATTTTGGGCCCTTACATTTTGCTTACATTTGCCCTGCAGTAGGGCAAATGGAAGGCATTCTTACTTCTAGTGTTATATGAATGTACGTCACAGGTAAGCAAAAACATGTCATTGAAACTACCAGGAAGAAGGCCGTTTTTGTTAAGATACATAACTTTACCTATTTGGGGTTTGATAATATCTTCAAATTTTACACTTCTTAAGCTCACAAAAATAGGATTGGCATGTGCATGAAAAGAACTCCTTGAAATTATTCTAATAACCCGTTTTTGAAGATTAATCAAACGTTTAAGATTTGACTGATAAGTTGAGCCCCAAACACTCAACAATAACAACAACAACACACTTTATTAGGAAACAGATAGTTACCATTTGATGAGTATGGTAGGTATGATCAAGTTAGGCTCAGGCTAAATAGTAAATTAAAATAATAATAGCAGCAATAAAAAATTGCAAATAAAAATAGCAAAACAAAAAACCTACACAGAGGAAAGAGACAAAGAAAGAGATTTCACTATACTGGTCGACGAAATAGATTGCTACAGTTTTACAAGTTTTTACTTATTTCAAGAATTGCGGGTGGTAAAGGTACAAATTCTTTTGTTTAATAATATTAATAAGTGTTTCATTTATTTGTTTCTTAAATAAGTTTCTATGGGCAGACTTTTTAATGTTTTCAAGTTACGCATTCCATAACCGCACTCCAAATCGGGAAAATGAATTCTGTAGTTATTCAAGACGAGAAGGCATGACATAAAATTTGTTGGTAGATGCTGATCTGGCCCTGGTTGTTCAAACGTTGGATAGCGCTATCCACCGGATAAATAACTACACAGTGGATAAGTATTAGGGAAAGCGATTAAGCTATCCGCTGGGTAGTGATTTATCCGGTGTATAGGGCTATCCAACTTATAAACAACTGGAGCCTGGTGTTGTAGGAATGGATATCTGAGACATGGGTAAAAAAATTTTCAATATGAGCCGGAGCTAGGGACTTGGACTTCATACAAGAAACAGATTCGACATAAAGAAAATGAACGCGAGGTCATCATATATGTCGTTTAAGAATTGCACGCCATGTTCTTTTTCTTCTTTGTTTTGTACAGTTAATTTAATGGAAGCTTTTAGCCACTCCAGCTCTGATTCCATTCCTACACAGCACATTAATGTAAATAAGAATAAACTAAACTATAATAGAGAGTTCACGGGAGGTCTTATTAAGGCAGATACTTGATTTGTAAATCATGCCTACTGATTTTGAGACTTTTCTTGCTGCGTTCTGTATTTGAGATTTCCATGATAAGTGTTCACCAAGTATAACTCCTAAGAACAAAACTTCATTTACACGATCAATTTCAATATCATTAATTAACTAAAAAATGTAAGTCACGTTTTGGCCTCTGTTTTGCTTTCAGGGGCACCCAACGGCAATTTCGGAAGAAGATCTGTTCGGAAGACGATTTGAGATCTAGAATTTTCCGAACATTTGTTGTAAAATTTCTTGCTTCCCTGCCTCTCCTAGGATTTTCGAACATCTAAAAAATGGTATAATTGCCTATTTTTAACGGATTTTTACCCTAAAAAGGTCACCTAGAATTTTCGGGAGCCTTTTTTCTGGCTGAAATTTTCGAAAAGGTAAGTTTTGATCCCTATAATTTTCGGATTTTCAGCTAGGAAATCCGAACAGATGAAAAATTTTAGGGGATAAAAATATGCTTATATCTACCATTTAAATACTAAAATGCGTTTAACAATGCTATGTTTAAGTGGTTTTGGACTATATTCTCGTTGGGTGCCCCTGTGCTTTGTTTTGTTTTGAATAAAATAAAATTTGATTTTTTCTGTTAATAGAAAGCTTATTAGCCTGAAACCAGCTTGTGATAGTTTCTTTAATTCGGTAGTGTTCATCCGAGGGGGCTTGTAATATAACGGGAGTAGAAAAAAACGCTTCCAAACAAGCTCTAGCAGTGCTTTCAAGCGTTATAATATCCCGAATTTATAATAACAAAAGCTATAGGCGGCCTTATATAAGGGGAGAGCTTATCGGATGTGTTTTTTTGTTCAGAGATTGATGGGCCTACTACTGGGGGACTAAACGGTGGGGGAGACGTATATGCGGGGGGCTTAGAAGCGATAGTTATAAGTGGAATGAATGAGTATCCCCGGGGGATACTCAACAACGTTCTGTATGGGGAGGCTCCGCCCCTTCATCTAACCCCTTACCCGTTAACAAACCATTTTTGACAGAAAAGGTACCCCTTTCGTATACCTTCTATTGACAACTGTGGTACCCCTTTCACATACCTAGTTTAGAACTTTGCATCCCTTTTAACTGCCGTATATACCTGTAGCCTGAAAAAAGTATCCCGTTCGGGTGAAGCTCCCTGTATAGGCCATTTTAGGGAGTAATTCAAGTGCAATGAAAAGTGCTTTAAAAGAGGAGTTAAACCCACGCTAATTTAGGTCGACCTAAATTAAGTTAAGATCATCTGTTGGGTCAGACGTCGAACTTAGGACGCGTCGAACTAATCAGTTGAATCAGACCAAAAAGCAACGACAAACCAGTGATCTTTGGTAGACCTAGTCTGCTACACAGCCGTTTTTAGTGTCGTCACGCAACGCTCCTCTAAGCGATGCGTGACGACACTAAAAACGGCTGTGTAGCAGACTATGGTAGAACTGGATCAGTAAAATCTTGAGTAGCAAAGTTTAAACTTAAAACAGTAAACAGATCCTTACGGCTGGAAGAGTGATAGGAAAAAAAAAAAGAAAGAAAACAAAAATAACGTGGTGAATTATATTTGCCCGATATTTCGGTTTGCAACACAAACCTTCAACGGGGGCTATAAAAGAAAAATGAATACAAATAAAAGATGAACGTGATGATAATGATGATGAAACGTTATTAAGGTGTCTAAAGAAGCCTCCTAGCTTAGGTTAAAAACCTATGCTAATTAGGGGACACGCGTTGCATATATGAGCGAGATTTGAATACATAGCAACAGAAAATAATAGGCTACTAAAATGATAAATGTCACTATTGTTCATCACGTCTATTTATACCATGAGGTTCTACAGTCATAGCTTTGTCAATGAGGTGAGCCTCGCGTGCCGTTCTGACAGAGTCACGGTTGCTACGAATTAGTTCTAAGGGAATAAGAAGGACGTCGTTGATACAGTGATCGGCTTGATTACAATGTTCGGAGACAAGAGTAGGATTAGGGAAGTATTCATAGGTGAGAATGGAGCAGCGATGCTCCCGATGTTGGTGGAGATGGCGCTTGGCCTCCCCAATGTGTTCCAGTA